TGGTTCACCAACCCAGTGGAGGGGCCGAGGTTGGTTATTTATTCATTTGTGCTATTAATTGTTCATTGAATTGTTAGTTTCATTATTATACTCATTACTTCGTTATTATATTCATTATTTCATTATTATATACATTATTATATTATTACATCATTCATTGTTCATTATATTAAAATAACGATCAATTAAAGGGTACAGCTTCTGATGTTCTAATTCGAGCGGAAGAAATCGCGAGATTAAGAAAACGCCTTAATGAACTCTATGCGAAACATACTGGTTTGTTGTTACTCTGGTCCATTTATTGTTATTATTCTTCGTCTATAAATGATAATAATAATATTAAGGACAAGACGTAAAAACCATTGAGATGGCTCTCGATCGAGATAAATTCATGAGTGCTGAAGAGGCGAAAGAGTTTGGTCTAATTGATAACATTGAAGTTAATGCTCAATCGATACAAAAAGAATAATTATTATTAATGTCTTTTGATCGTTATTAAATTAATATAAATAAATGAACAATCAACACCGAAATAAATATGTTAGTTACTACGTTAATGAAAAGTGAAACGATTGATTCCATTTGTAAGTACAGTGGTTCTCACGTTCGGGTGCTCTATTACCCCTTTTGATGATCTGGCAGGCCGCCGTTACCCTCTGCCCCCCCCCCCTTCCTGATGCAAGAAGTCACTATTTCTACGTATAACATTAGGAACAAACGAAAAACGGTCCAGAAATTCCTTAGTGGCGTGAAAGAAATTAATTTTCTGGAATGTAACAAGTATTTTTAGAATTTTATTTATCCACTGCATAAACAATATGAACCTCAGCAATTAAAAATGAAAAGCAATGAAAAAAAAAACCCTTCAGCTATAAAAAACGAATTGAATTCATGAAGAAGGAAGATACAATGAACATTTGAGATGTTATCTTCGAGATGAACGGAAAAGCAATCATTCCATCAAAGCGATGGTTAATGAACAATTAAAAATCTATCGGAGGGATGAGAATAAATCCGAACTATCAAGGGTTTTTAGATGCGATAGGTGCATAAAGTCATTCTACTTTTCAAGCATTCCACTCATTAACATCATAAGAAATGTGGTCATTCATCACGGAAGAACTATTATACCGCTTTGAGAAACATTCATAAGCAATTGAAGAATTAGAAATTTTAAATATGTACCACATGGTACACATTTANATGGAAGAACTATTATACCGCTTTGAGAAACATTCATAAGCAATTGAAGAATTAGAAATTTTAAATATGTACCACATGGTACACATTTATCATAAAACAGATGCCTAACTTAAGACACGATTGAGCAGTTATTTCATTCACAAAAATTCACTTACGAACTAAAAGTTCCTTTATAAACAGTAATTAAAAACTTATCAAAACTCTTCAGTGCAACCAAATAATAATGAAGGAATTCAGAAACACTCGATCATACCACAACAAACCAATGATCTTTTCTATCGTACCAAAGAGCTAAATCAACTTGTACAGCTCATGAGAGACTAGGTAAATCAATATATTAAAGAACTTACGAGATATTTGTGACTTCTTCAGACTGACTTTTGTTCAGGCCTAGTCGAACTAAAGATACTCAGAAAACAGGATAATGACGTATTTCCATGAGCGAGCCGCGTTTAGGTATCCGAGTGAAAATACACCATCACAATGGCGTTTCATCATAACAAAAAAACACCAAATATTAGGCTGTCTCAGTCAATCCCCAATGTTGATGAGAGACAATGTGTCGCGACGGAGCGCGAAAGAGGCGATTCGTGAAGGACACAATTTTTTAAACTGTACTTGAGCTGTATATGTATAGGATGTGTACGGATATCATGCACTATCGATTCGGATGATGAAACTTAACTTTCGTTTATCTTATTTAGAGAATCTCCTTCCTTCTGTGTTCGTATGATATGAATACTTTGTTTTTCGATGTATAAAACAGTGTTATTACAGAATAAACGCCGAAATGGTGCGTCGGCAAAATAGAGTCTGATGTTATTCGCTTTCTGCGACTATATTCTAATTCCAAACAAAATTAAGATATTCTCAACTGCCCGTCGAACTTCAACAATCCAACAAATTCGTTACTGAATACGTTCCACCAGCACATC